CTTAATGAAACAATAGAGATCAGGATTGTGGCTGTGATCTGTTACTAGCTTACTGAAGCTCTGTATACACATGCTGGATTCACCCATGTCAAGTGAGTGTTCCATTATGTTTTAACCTTTTTTATGTAATAAACCTTTTAAACTATGAGAAACGTCTTTCCTGAGCATTTTACCCTACATGCTGGCACAAGAACATGCTGATTTGTCAGTGGAATATCCATCTATAAGTAGCTCAAGACCATAGAGGAAAGCGAGTTTGATTTGATGGATAAGGGATTATGAAGTGCATTTTAACATACCTGTTAGCAGGCAGTGATTCTGATGCAGTGAATTACAATCTGGTAGGTGAGATGGCACCTGGACTGTTGATTCATATACATTGGAGATGTTATTTACTATTCAAGAATGCACATAGAAATACAGACTATTGTTTGTAGTCTTACTTTGCTTGATTTAAACATTTTACTATTTTTCACAAGTTGTTATGTGCCTTGCCTAGTATTTGTTTGTTATATGAATACTCAGTGATTTCATAACTGGGTCTGGGTCTCCATGCTTCTCTATGCAATGCAGGCATATCATGCCCCATGGTCAGTGAGTCACACTTCTGGGTCTATATTTTACTTGGTCCCCCGGTGGGCACTGTGGTTACTTCTAACAGCTGCTACATCACTACCATGTGCTGTGAAGTTTTGGATACCAGCTGGTAGCTCTTCAAAATGGTAAATATTTGACTAATTGCCCATTAAAAAGGTATTAATCATATATTTTTGCAGGATGCTTGTCATTTAAAGGAGAACTATGGGGTTAAGGTTCTTCCCCATAGTTCTCCTTAGGGTAATGGGAGGACACAAACTAGCGTCCTCCCGTCACCCTAGGCTCAGTATATCTGCGAGTATACTACAGTATATCGCGGTATACTAAGACGCCGCAGCTGAAGCGGATCCCGACAATTATGTCTGGATCCGCCCAGAATTTTACTTTAATGTCAAGGTGTGTTTAATTGTGATATTTAACAATAGTGGTCGAAGCAAAATAATTCTTCCTTATATTCATCTGGTACCGTATAACAAGAACACATCCCCATTCAGACACCTTCAGTCGGTAAATGTGTATCACTGTCACTTCCTTTTCTTCCTCAATACCATCAAAAACCGAGACCACATAGAAAGGAAGCTGTGATTTCCTTGTGTTGATTGTGGATGCAAATCTCCTTTTTTGATCTCATGAAGTACTTCGTTTATTGTTGGGTGCAATATAAATTAAATTATGCAAACCTATTCATTATGGAATTATGTAAATTCCTTCCCTTTTATTTATGTCACTTGAGCTGGTCCTGATTTAATGAAGACAGCATCTTAAACTGATTGACAGCATATTTGTAATATAAAAAGTGGGAGAGAAATATATTAAAATGGAAGTGACTTGTGGCTTTGGATGTTAATGCTCAAATTAATTACATTATTTTACAACCTCTTTTGCTGACTATGTGAAATTAAAAATACATTTTAGGACTTGCAGCCTTATAGGAAAGGTGAGAAAAAAAATGAACACTAAATTGGTTCTGCATTTTACTAACTTATAAAGCCTGTGTCAAAGTAAGTATTTTCCCCCACTAAGCTGTCCTCGACCTTAGAAAATCCCTGTTATTTTTTTTACCCACCTAGATCCTGCTTTGAAGTCTGAGTGACATCATCTGACTACTAGATCTTTGTCTTCAAGCTGCACAGGGAGGAGGAGTTTGCAGGACAAACTACATCATATCTGTGCACCCTGCAGAACTGATAAGAAATAGTGAGGGGTTATTGTAGAGACCAGTCACCCAGTATAGATAGTTGGCTGGGGTGACTTGTCTAGAATGCTGCTTCTAGCGCAGATAATGCATTTCCTAATGAAATGGGGGCAGAAAAGAGTCAGGAGCTGTCTTCAATAAAAAGCAAAATGGTAAAGCTGTCTTTCAGTCATACAATATTTGTGGCTGGAGAACAGCTTTAAATTGGACCATAACATGTATGAATGCATTAACTCCTGATATGTCATAATATAAAGCAATAGTGTAACTGTAAAAAAAAAAGTAAATTTTCTTAATAAAAAGCAATAGTTGAGCTATAGTTAAGTAACTTTGTCAAAGCACAGTTTCTCAAAGTTTGCCTTAGAGGAGCTTCTTATGAGAATTGTGCCATCTACTAGCCCAGTGTCTTAGCCCTGGAACTGTATGTGCCCATGAATGATACCTGAGCAAGGACATTGCTGGCCTTCTGGGGAGGAAGGGAGCTGAATGCATTATCAGGAGAAGTTTCCTGAGATGTAATAAATACATGTAACTGTTACACATAAACATTACTTAGCATGTATACACTCATAATGAAAAATTATAGCTGAGAAATAGATCTGCTTTACATATGGCAATTACAGGTTTTGTACAAACCAGAACATCTTTAAATAAATACAAATCATACAGCATTGTTAGTACACTTTAGTATATGTATGTATTGGTCTGTAAAAATGTTTTGAGCTTATAACAAAAAAAAAAAAACACGTTATTATTAAGGTAGATAATCCATGCATTTGTTATCCAGGTCAATTAAAATTGCAGATATTAAACGATGGCCGAAAAAACCTCTTCCAGTATTTTAAAACAGCAGACAACTTTAAAATGTACTTCCTCTTTAGCAGCCAAAGTGGTATAACACCTACTGTCTATGTGTTACATGTTCTCATTCACATTGTATAACTTGAAAAAAAATATTACTGTGTATATTTTTAAATTCTTTTCACTTGCTTAAAAATCCTACCTAGCTTCCCTATGTAATGTTAAGGAGGGGGCTGGGTAACGTTATGTTTCCTCTGTCTGTACTGTGCTGGCAGATTTCATTATCAGTTGTAAACTAGATGTGGACACAGTCTGTCCTAACACAAGGTTAAGGACTTAGAAGAATTGCATGTAAATTAGAAGAAGCTCAGTCTAAAAGTTAAAGTAGAGGGTCAAACTGAGGGACAAACTGCTTAGAGTAAATTGGAATCTGCACAAAGGCTTTCACGAAATAAACATCAAAAAAAGGTAAGATACATTATATATATAGTCATATTTTTTTAAAGTATGTTTTGTGAATAGGAACACATAACAAACATATAATGAGGTTTTTGCAAACTTCAGTGCAAATGTGGAACTACACATCAATCACTTTGCCAGTCCTGCTTTGCTCTCTTTGCTAAAGCAGGCCCTATAGTGGGGATTCTAGTGACCAGATATATGTTTGTTAAACAATATAAAAATCAATCCTTGCAGTCTTTCTCCCGATCTAGGGGCTCAAAGCCTCGAGCCTCTACATGGAAAGAAAGACTGCAAATATTGCTTTCTTGAGAGTGGCAAGACTGGGCATTTACCATACAACAAGGTACACCTAGTGTTAACATTAACCAGGAATGTCTGATGATATTTGTGGTATATCGTAAAACTTTACCAATGGGCAATGCAGTTGTTGATATACTGCAGTCACTTTACCCCTTTTTTTGGAAACAGGGACAGTTGATGTTGTCATTTAGCAATTATGTATTTCTTGCAAAGCCAATGGTAGATTTAGGTATATTACACTTGTTTATGTGGGTTCCAATATGTGTTTTTAAGTTTTATTAACCTTGGGTACTGATTATTGGTCAACGTAAGCACTGTTGATATTGTGGCTGTTTTTTCTTTGGAATATTAGAAACGTTCCAGGCTGCTACTGTTTGAACTTATTTTGTGTTTATTGTGTCCATCTAGAGCAGCGGTTCTCAACCTGTGGGTCGCGACCCCGTCGGGGGTCAAATCACGATTTGCCAGGGGTCGCCCGGGAGTCTCCCGATATTAGATAGAGGCTCCCGGCCGCCCGGGAGAGAAACACTTTCTCCCGGGAAGGTTTACTCTGCTCGATTGATTTCCCTGCGATCGTTTTTTTTTATGACATTGGGGGCTGCCGGAAGTCAGAAAAAAAACAACCCACCATATGAATGCATAGCTAGATTCCTATTGGCTATTTCACATTGCAATAGCCAAAAGCAAACTAGCTATTGCAGCTGCCCTCTGCTGCTGCCAATCAGCAGAGGAGGGCCTGAAGTTCTCCATCAGGTCCTCTTCTAGTGATTGACAGCAGCAGAGGGCGGGTGCAATAGCTAGTTTGCTATTGGCTATTGCAAAGTGAAATAGCCAATAGGAACAATAGGAATCTAGCTATTCATTCCTATGGTGTTTTTTTTTCTTTTATTCTGACGGCGTATGCCAGTGGTTCTCAACCTGTGGGCCGCTGTGTGATTTCTGCTGTGCTAGGTGAGAGTCCTCCACAGCCCTCTCCTAGCGCAGCAGTGTCAGTTCTCCCGACACGCCACCAGATGTTGCTGCAGCAGCCGCGTCATCCCTAAATTTTACCGCTGGGGGTCACCACAACTTGGCAAATATTACCAAGGGGTCCCGGCACTAGAAAGGTTGAGAACCACTGATCTAGAGCATCCATCCAGAGCAAAACACTTGTTTTAATTCAGACACATACATCTGCTCTTATTGTTTATGACTTAGAGCTTGTTTTTATAAATGGTTTCTGAAAGGTGACAATTCATTGGTCCTGTAAACCTGTATTCTCATAAGTATTTTTCTTAGTGCTTTAGTAAGCCCAGTGTTTAATTTGTGGTTTATCTAGTCTAATCTGACTTTTGTTTTTGTAACATAGAATACATCTGGAAGATTGCTTTTTATGTTTAGTGTAGCAGAAAGAAAGTAATATTTTGTGCACAAACATCACTTCACATTTATGGAACACTGATGTATGTCTTAGCTAGTGATGTGCCAAAGTGAATCATTTCCCTGACAGAAGGACAGTAACAAAATCTAAGTGAACGTGCTGCAGGGTAAATATATAAAAGGGGTATAAGGTATTGTAAAACTGATGTATGTTAGAAGATTTACCAAAATAGAAAAACATGATAAAATGTGTAAGGTACTGCCTCGGGTACATACAACATATGCGGTCCAGAAGTCTGATTGGAGAAAATAGATAATTCTTACTTTATTTTCTCAAGGACATAAAATCCAATATTTAAGATTGACTTCACATTTTTATTTCTTTATATATCTGTGCGGTTCAGCTCATCCCCAATTCTTCATCGTTGTCACAGTAGCAAAACTCAAACCAGGATGAGCAGCAAGCCTGGAGCCACGGTTTCCAAATCACATTGCTCCACGATAACTGATTATCCACCACTTCAATGGTTTTTTGATGAGCCTCTGTGGCTTTCTGAATAGTCTCAAGAATGTTGTAGAAATTTGGTTCTGTTTCTGGTGTGATAGGATGCTTTTCACTTGGATCTCTAGACAAGTCAAAAAGTAAAGGGGGATTGTGTTGTGTGACAGACACACCATAGCAGTGACAGACATGTGAATTGAAGCAGCCTTCTGAACCTTCTGGATTAAAGTTAGGAGTGAAGAAGAATGCCTTCCAAATAGAGGTACCTATAAAGAGGAAAATACAAATAAAAACAATTAAAATGCACCATGTGATTAAAAATGCTAAATAAAAGCAGAGCTCTAGTTCAAAAACAAAACATTCAGCTGTCTTTAAATGCCTGATTCCTTCCCCCAACACCACTACAAGATCAGTGAGAAGAGGAAAGATCAGCGATGTCACTCAAGTGGCCATAAAACCCTTGAAAAAAGGTATGCAATGTATATAATTTACAAAAAAAGTGTGTGTGTGGGGGGGGGGGGGGGGGGGGTATCTCAGGGAGGTGGTGGTGGCCCCTTATAGTGTCAGATGAGCTTTACAAAGGTTTCTACTTGCAAAAAGGTTGGGTAGAAATTACAATCACTTGTGCAGAAAAACTGCACAAGCAATGAGTAGGCAGCCCTGTGTCCACAAATTGCAACAAGTTAAAGTGAAAGCCCGCTGAGTGAAGATACTAGAAATGAGGAAGAGAAGTGAAAGACCACCATGGAAAGCCTATGTAGATAGAAAAACAGCTCTGGAAAGACTTTGAGATTTCCAAGGTGAAAGTATAAGACATGCTTGACGAATTTGTGAGACTTCCCAGGAAAACATGTGAGAATATTTAAAAGTGTATCTTAACCCACAAAAAAACCAGTAATGTACTGCAACTTATCCTTGGATGTGGTGGATGCAGTAGATTGATTTTTTTAAGCTTTGGTTCCTTTATTTTTATCTGGCCATCTAGCTAACAACACACCTCCTGTCTTAGAATGGCTATGTTCACTTCTCAACTGCAACCTCGACCTAACCACAGAACCACCACATTCTCAAACAATTCATGCCCACACCGCTACCTCTTCGTGTATCACTTGCTCCTCCCTTTTAGATTGTAAGCCCTCCTCACCATCTTGTCTTTAATTGTGATTGTAATTTCTTCCTTATATTGGCTGTGCAAACCGTTGGCGTTATATAAATCATGAATAATAATAATAACTATGGAGGAACGGCATTGCCACCCTTGGACAACAGCAACATTGTTGACCCATGGAGAGGGTAGCATTGGATACTCTTTACAAAAGTGACTAACAAATTAAAACCTAACTCCAGATAACACTTTTCAAGCACTTATAGCAATGTGTTTTTCTTTTTGGGATACATATTTTAACCTTAAGAGTAAAAACTGACTTTGTTATTTGGTTTGTTCCAACCCCCCTAGTTGCCACTTTTGCTGGACAGCTTGGTCTGGGTAATTTAAGTTGAAAAACAGAAGATTTACGGGCAGGATCAACAGGTAATACAACTATGTTACACGGGGGACACTATCGGGCTGTGTTCATTCTAGTCATAGACTGCATCATAAACATCATTTTTGATTTTGTCTACAGTTCCACTTAAAGATTTATGAGTCGGACCAGATATCTCATTCCAACCAGTTGAAGGGAAAAGAGAATACTTTCCTGCAAAGCTGTGCGGGAGAGTTTTATATTTCACTATACCAAAGCTAGAAACCATTTTAACACATTTAAAGTGCAACCTTGGACAGGCTATGGACAATATCATATTTTATCCTTCTAAACAGTCTTCTGTAGCTGCAGGCAATATGAAATAATTTACTCTTAAGATTTAAAGCAGACACACTATACTTTTTAGCAGCTCAGCCTACCCTGACCCCCTTCCCAGAAATTGATTGCAGCCTTCCAGTCTTCTAATCTCTAATAGAAAAATAGGGTGGTCCTCTGAAAAGGGGGAGAACAGATGTTGATACCTGAATTAAACAACTTCAGTACCTATCTGTTGAAATTTGAGACACCCCAAGACAGAAAATATATGGTGTGCCAGTTTGAACAATACATTCATCAAAAAGCATATCTGACTCCACTAAGCATACTGCTGAATAAAAAATGTATTCCATGGCAATAGTGACCAACTTAGGAAAAATTAATCATAGATCTTAGAGGAAACCTATTTTGTTGACACATCCAAACAACTGAAAAAAACAACAGATGCACCTAATGATGCCTTTGGGGCAGATATTATGCAAGAAATTAAGCACTTTTCTTTCTTGCTGTGATATAACAATGACCCTTTAAATGCTCCTGACACATAGCAACATAGCATATTTGTTCTGCATTTTACACTGAATAAGTAATAGCACTGCAAACCATTAGAGAATATGTCATGCAGAACAAAGTAATGTTGATGTCTAAATTAATAAAAGTGGGCAAAAAGCCCTAATATGCAAGCTGCTTGCACAACACATAGCCTAGTGCCCAAAGGTTACATTATATGCTAGCCTTGCATGCCCTGTCCAGTGGGGTCTGTATACAGTATCCGAAGTTAATGTAGAGAAAATGCTGATGTGGATAACTACAATATGGAAACTAGTGATGAGCCGAACAACGCTGGGTTGGGTTTGGTGAACTTTATTTAAGTTCAGATGTTAAATGCAAACCCCGTTAAAGTCAAACAGAGCCAAATATTAAAAACCATCATTGGCAATTTTCTAGGCTAAAAGGCAAGGGATTGTCAAATAAAGAGCATAAGGAACAAAACTGAATTTTAAAAAATCTGTTTGGCTGGGAGTATTGATTTTATTAATAGGTAAAGGGCAAAATTAAAATGCACAACTCTCTTAAATAATATGCTTAAGGGATGCCCTGAAATTGTCTAAGTGTGGTGCATCTGTATAATGTATACAATGTATTACAGAAAAACTAATATTTACACAGAAAAAAAAAGCTTTTAAAATTGCCAGCAAATGACAGATCCCGCCAGATTCCATTCTGTTTGTAACAAAGCATCAGGGATTCCTTTAATCTGCTATAGATGTTAATGGGGTCCCCCTACCTTGAAAACAATTCCAAAGTGGGGTCCTCCCAAGTTCCATACCAGTTCCTTCAGGTCTGGCATATATTTTAGGGCTTCCCCCTGGCAAAGCACCTTGTCACCATGTTGATGAAGACAAGGGCCTCATCTTGTCCTCATGTTGATGGAGTTTCTGTGGGCGGGTGGCTAAATCTAAACTGTTAGCCCCCATTAAGACTAATGGCTGCCCTAAGATGCCTCTCCCCTATGTAAATGAGTAAGATGTACGAAAAAAGTAAACCATAAATAACAACACTCATCCATTTGACAAGTCCTGTATAAAAAAAGGTCCCACATTGCACATGCATTATCAATCACATCTTTCACAGATGTAGATTCTCATCAATAATGATGAATGGCACCTGCTGAAGGAAAAAAAATTGCAAACCCACCCATATCAATTGAAGACTTGCACTGAATAATAGCTCCCTGAGTTGCCATCTGTAATATAGGTGAAGCAGCAGGGAAAGTGGTGAAATTGTTGACTAAATATGGCCATACACCATATCGGAGCATTCATTTCACCACTATCCCTGCCTCTTTGGTTAAGTGGCTGTGGATTACTGGCCACACAAGTGAATGCACCAGGTGATGCCAGTGGTTGTTAAGGACACTGCATGCACAACTTTGAGCTCATCCCTAATAGTGAGCAGGTCAAACAGTGGTGCATTGCTGAATCTTGCTTAAAGTCATCAAATATTGTTTTTTTCTGAATGAGGGCTGGGAAATGGCACCCAAACTCCTAGAACACTAGCAAAAAAGTCTGTGATGCTAATTTTCTGGTTGCCAGTGTTCTCACCTCCTGATGGTGCCAGTATAAGCCCACTGTTTTGAAAATCCTGTGCCCCTCAGTGCATGAGAAAGAAGCACATTTTAATATAGTAGAGAATATTTAGAAAGTCTAATAATGTTTAGATTGTTTTGTGTGTCTTACTATCTCAGTAAAATCTGAGCCACCCATTTCTTGTATGGACATCATAGATGCAGGCAGGTAAAATCTCACCAAAGGGGTCATAGACAGCAATAAAAAGCACTCTATCCAAAGGCAAAATGAGGGCATGTCATAACATCAGAGGGTATGAAAATAACCAGTCTGGTGCATTTGGGACCACAGTACTTAATAGCAGGTTTGGACAAGATTGCTTTAAAGCATTAAAAAAGACTTACAACTATACAAAGAATAATTTTCTAGCCAGAATAGAGAACTGGAATATAGAATTTGTCTCTACGTCTAAAAGTTTTTATTTATTAAACAACTAAAAGGGAGAGGCAGCCAATCGATCATTATTAACAGTATGCCAACATATACTGTGCCAATGACATTTAATGATGGTTATACTTTTTTCCTCACTGTAGATAGAAATCAAAGGCGTGAAATGTGAGCTTGGAAATATATTGTACACCAAGCAGAAGGGAGACAGCAATGAATACAAAATGAATACTGCAAAAGAAGTCAGAATTACACGTGCTGCATAAAAATACATTAGCTATTTAAATGAATCGAGGCAAGGCAAGACACTTGAATTAATGTTTAAACATTATCAAATGTCCTTTTTAGTACAATAATTTTTTTTAAATGCAACACAAAGATGTAAGGGGACATTATGAAAGGACATTAGAGCATTTATAAAGTATCAGAAATGATTTAAAGCAGAATCCATTGTTGTACGTAGATAACTTGCTGGTTCATTTGCCTTGACACACATCGCTTCTCCTTAAACGCTGCTTAATGAGCAGGCACTAAATGTATATTGTGCCTCTATTAGTTTGTAAAACAAATCGTGACAACTCATAAGAAAAGTACATTGCTAGCAGAGGGAGCACTTTCATTTACCCCAATGGACGAATACTGTCACCACCAACCTTATGTCACTTTGTGTGCAGAGGGTAAGTGGGGATGTAAAAGGATGGGAGGATTCAGTAACTCCATATTAAGGAAGAAAAAAAAAACTATGCATATATAGACACAATTTTTTGAGAGTGGTACATTTTTTAACTATATTCATATGGTTTCATTATTATTGGTTAAATAAAATACTATGAGTCTTGGTTGGGGAGATTGCATTTCACTCGTGGAGGAAATCTCAGGGACAGAGATAGCAATATCAACTTGATAGTGGAGCCCAATCATCAATAATACTCTGCTTAACAAAAAAACATG